GTGTGTTTTTCTTCTTCTTCTTATCACTCTATATAAACAAGCTGTGAGTCCTTGACGTGCCAAGCCAGGATAATCAGTGAAAGAAGTATTTCGTTTCCAATACACAAACATCTAGCTTCCGAGTAGCAGCGTTATAATGTTAGAATGTTACCACTTCTTTGTTTCTTTTTGTATCTTTTTGTATTTCAAATTTTAAAAAAAGGTCCGATTCTTAAATGAGTTAGAAAAATACCCACAGTAATGAAAGAGGAGAGTTTTAGTCCATAGATTATGGAGAATAGTCAAAGAAAAAAAAAAAAAAAAAAGAAGGAAACTTAATCCGTTCGTTTTAAAAGGCTCGCATAAATTCCGTCCGTAAAGATAGCATTTAAAAAGTAAGATAACCCACTGTTCAAAACCAGCCCAAATTTAATTCTGCCACTTATTTCTTTTGTTCTCCAATTTAAATTAATTTTAAGTTTTTTTTATAGGCAGACACTTTTAAAACAGTAAAAATTCCTCACCAGCTGAAAACACTTTCTCTTTCTGTATCCTTCCGTTTTGGAGCTGCCCCGACCACATCAGCCATTTGGCTGGATTTTTTGTCACCGGCTTGAACAACTCTTGGATAAACCAGCGACTTTGCAATGTCCCTGTGATCAGCAAGATGTATTCTTGCGGGAGGGTTTAGGTCCGTTTGGACCACCCAGAGACAAAGATGTTGACTGCGATCTCAGAGCATTGAGATCGCATGTCATGTCGTCGTGACTTCGGCTCCTCCCCTCCAGAGCCCTTTAACTTCTTGATTAATAGGAACACAGCTGCCAAAAACGGCTATTAATATCTACAGAAATCTTCTCCTTTTTTATTTGGTAATCGTTGTCCAGTGTCATCCTATGTTAAAGAATATTCTACCCCAAAACAATGATTTTGAGTTACATAAAAGTGAACATATTTGTGAAAACATAAAAATGGATCGTTTTTATATTTATGTGGGATTGTGAGGGAAATGAACTTCAGTTCCTTATTAAACCTACTGACCAAGATAGGTTTTAGTTTGAAATGACAAACTTGGAATGCATATTTTCTTTTAGCCAGCGGATTAACTTTTTTTTTTTTTTTTTTTACAAAGTTACAATGTCTTGGTGTAATCCACGTGTCTCATCATTTCTATACACTCATCTCTTGTTTTGCAATCATGTTATGTTCCAACAATCAGTATGTGAAGCGAAATGATTGCTAAGTGAACATGTGACAGAGACACTGCAAATATCACACAAGTGCAGTGCAATGGACAGTGCAGATGGATGAAATTTGGTCATAAATGTGCCCATTGGTTGGAAAATCAATTGGACTGAGGTAGTTGCTAAATGAGAAGTGGGTGTAGCCTGATTCTTGTACAAACTATGAGACTGTGATCAATACAGACTTTTGGCTGGTCTGGGATGGCCATAGGTCAGAATATAATCTGTCAGTAGGGTTGGCAAGTAAGAGAGGGGGATGAAGAAGAATTTGATATCTCGGCCTGCAGCGTAACGGCTATGAGGGTAGGCAGAAATTAGGGCATGTTCCATGCAGTCTGTAACTATCTGGAGGTTTGTTTTCTTCCAACTACTGCCAACAAATGTTTGGTTAACTGTGGATAGAAAGAAAGAATAAGTCAGCCACCTGGATTGAGCAAACCATGTTTGTCAGCATGAGAAACAGTTAATTGGCAATCTGGGTTGAGATCTAACCCTCGGCTGTAAAATAGCACTGTGTCTTTCATGCCACGATCCTTTATCTTCTCCCATTCCACAGCTATGGCTACCACCCAAAGAGATGAAACTACATTATAACAGTATTTTGCATACTGTTTTAATGGTTTTATTGTACACTGCCCAGAATCCCTCTGTGAAGGAGATGGGTGGTCCTTCAATAAATGAATGAATCAGTGAATAAGTAGATAAAGATTGGAAAACTTGACAGAATATTGCTGTTCTGAGTGTCCTCTTGCCATTTTTAATATTCATTTCTAAATTAGGTTGTGCAAGTGATTGGCAATATCTTCATGTGCCACTGCATGGTCTTGCCCTTGACATTGGCATCTATCATATAAATATTCTTTTTTAAAGTGTTTAAAATCTCCTGTGACCAGCAAATCTAATGAGATTTCAGTGATCACATTTCCATGATCTCATATCAGAATTCCAAAATTTTGAGAGATAACATTCTTTCCTGAAACTTTCCAGTGTTTATTATTATTTCTGGTGAAATAATTATGAATGTGATGTTTTGAGGTAGCGCCTCTGCAGACTTGACAACACAGCAGCTGATAATAAATTGCCGATGTCTTGGGAGGCAGAAAGGCCACTCAAGAAAGCAAAAACAATTCATGGAACTGAACACTTCTTTTCCCGCAGGAGAGTAATATGGAGCTTATACTATAGCTGAGGGCTATCTGCAGGATCTAATCTTTTAAAAAAAAGATGCAGAAGGCTGGTTTTGTTCTCTCTAGGACAGTGGTTCCCAAACTTGGCAACTTTAAGACTTGTGGACTTGTGGCTCTGCTGGCTGGAGAATTCTGGGAGTTGAAGTCCACAAGTCTTAAAGTTGCCAAGTTTGGGAACCACTGCTCTAGGAAATCCTCAGGTGCTATGGCGAATCATCTATTAGGATGTCATTACTAGAAGCATTTTATATTGTAAAAATAGTACAAGTCTCCTATAATCTATATCTAAGGAAATGGAGTCCTGGATAAGTCTTGGAATAACTGACCTTTTCCATCATTTCTAAGAAGAGTGCAAATAGTTAATAAGAGCTAGAGATTTAAATTGTATTTAATGTCACAATTTTCAGAGGAGAAAGAAAAACAGGAAAAGTACATTCTATTTTGCTTCTTCATCAGCAAATGTGAATCTAACATGCAAATTAGATCCATGCATGCTATTATCTACACATACTTCCCGTTTTTTTTTGTCTCTGATCAGATATAACATTAGCATGATGATTTTGGGCATAATTTAAAAATCTGAATAGCCCTCACACAGGCGTATAAACCTAATTTAGTTACTAAATGAACATTTGTTACTCTGCTGTTATTGAATTCCTTTACTCTATGCCTTCCAACTGCAGAGAAACATGTTTGCTAACTATTTGTTGTTGTTTTTTTGCATGTCTCAGTATCATTTGTAGCCTAATTTGCTTTTGCAGATTTTCATATTGTTTAAAGCTGTGCCCTAGTTAAAATAATGCAAAGCAGAGTTTGTTAGAACAATAAAGTGTGATCTTTAGTGTGGTTGCAGTAGCTGGAGCAGGGCAATGATTAATAAAATCCCTCTAACCAGAGGTGGGGTCCTACTGGTTCGGCTGAGTAGGTAGACTCGGCCTGCCACGACCCCAAACCGGTTCTATCGTTGGCGCCTGATATGACCAGTGGAAAGGTGGATTGGTTCCTTACAGCAGCAATGGCTGCACTGTCTGGAGACTTGAATGACCCAATTTGAGACAGATTGTTATGAGGAATATCTATGTGATTACTAAGGGCCATCATTTATTTAATGACCTTATAACCAGTCAATCAATTTTAAAATAAGTATTATATGCATAGCCACACACACACATTTGTTTTGAAAATGAAAATGAAATAGGCTAGACCAGGAATTAGGTAATGTATATTTTTCTATGTATTGATTCCTGCCTGACATGTCCCCACTTTATTTCTTTGGTTACCAAGCTAACAACTATGAGCCAGAACCAGGGATACTATAGTTGTAGGTCTATGGAGATTCTCAGTCATCCAAGTCATGGTTGCCCCAAAGGTGCGTTTTCAAAAGGCAGTTGGATTTCTTTGTTTTTCTTAAAAGACGTTTTGTTTGTCGTCCAAGGAGCTTCTTCAGCTCTGACTGGATGGTCCTTCCATTCCCTAGCATCCAGTCAGAGTGGAATAAACTTCTTGGATGGGTAACGAAACATCTTCAAAGAAAACAAGAAAGTCCAGTTGCCTCTTGAAAAATTGCCTTTGGGAGTACCTTAGTTGTAAGATGGAAAGTGCCTGAAGAAACAAACAATCAGCAACCAGGCAGAGAACCCCTTGCTAAGAATTTTTGAAGCCCACCCCTGAGTCGGTGTATGTGCATACATGCATTGGCCAGCCACAGTCCAGTAGTGGGCCACAGCCCACAGGTTGGGGACTCCTGCTCTAAAGCACCACAGACAAAAGTGATCATCCTTCTCTTTCTCTTGTCACCCAGTTTTTTTTTTTTGCTTTGGATACCAGCCCCCTAACTCCATATACCCTCTTTCCACCCTGAGAGTTTATCACCCTCTTTTATACATAAATGGAAATATGCTCACACTTAGGCTTACACATTGGTCTCTCAGGAATAGTTCCTGCATTTGATGAAATGAACCGTAGTTCACAAAACCTTATGATATGAGAAATAAGGTCCTGCAAGATTACCTTTTGCTGGCAATATTACTTTCCTGGTTTTACATGTTTTACACATTTTAACTTACTTTTGCTCCAGAATTCCTGGCCATACAGTTCTTTGATATCAGGTGGTACGTTGCTCCAGAGGGTTCTGAAGAACTCAGCTGCACATTTATCTAGTCCTGTTAAAAATGAGCCTGGCTCGATGATGCTGACTTTGACCCCAAAAGGATGCATTTCACGTCTACAGGAAAAAAAAAAAACTTTTTAAAAAGTAGGGATTTTCCTCCTGTCTCCAACTAGAATCATTCCTAGCTCCATTTTACTAGATCCCCAAACGTGCTTTTCTTCTGCTTACTTTTTTTTAAACTGAAAACTTTTTTCTGAGAATAATCCCAGAATTCAGCTAGAATGTATGAAAACAAGATTTTGATAGTCTAAGAGCTGAAAGAAAGAAAGTGAAATGAAGGAGATAAAAAATACTGCCCTTCAAAGTTTTCTATCCGAAGTGATTTGCTATTGGCAAAGCAAAAAATCCACAAGAGAAATTTAATTAGGGCATTTGCAGCTTTGGCAGATAGTAGCAAACCCATTTAAATAATAATCTGATTATGAAAGAGATTTTATAACCTTCATAAAATATTTCTTTGATTGTATCGTGACTTGGTTGCACACATCTGTGTAGTTTTCCTGGGAACAGTGATTTGGCACTGCCTTCCTCCAGAATAGTTTTAACCATTAATCTACATTGTGGATTTGCTAGTTGCTCACTATCCAAGTTTGGCATGGTTTGACTGAACCAGTAGTGGAATTCAGGCCTGGGTCACAGAACCGACAGTGACTCAGGCCTGCCACGCCTCCGAACCTGTTCCCTTGCTGCTACTGGGCCGCCGCCATTTGGATTATAGTGACTGTGTGTGCGCAGTTTACTGTAAATTGTTCTGCGCATGCGCGAAGAACAATTTACATTGAAAAGCACACGTGCACGTTGTGAATCGGTAATAAAACTGGCAGCAACCCACCCCTGGAAACAGGTCTTAGTTTTTTGAGATCTTTCTGGAGATAGTTTTTGGAGTTGGCTTTTTGATGCCACCTGCTGGGCTACCCTTCATATGAAGTCTTCTTCTAGTCTTCAAGCTGAGCTCAATTCTTGTGACTTTACAAACACATTCAATTTCTATATGTGCTAAAAGCAAAACTTGATTTTGTGGCACTTTGATGTCTAATAATATTTTCATAAAACTGAAAGCTACTCATTTTTTGAGATCAGTCAAGTTTGGGTATGTGGGGTCAGAAATATCATCATCATCATCATCATCATCATCATCATCATCATCATCAGATGCAAAGGATGGAAGGGGAGGATGCTGAAAAAAATGGAGGCACCCATGCTGCCTTTCCCACCTCCTACTTGACTATTCTGTCCAGCAGCACAGTAGAGTTGCCTATAAAAACTACAATTGTGAAACATATGGGGGAGAGAGATGTGCACTTTGGAAGTTGTGCACTGCAGTTAGTAACAAATAGAAAACAGGCAAATAGATGGAGCTGTTTTTAATTCACAGAAACTGAAGGCTCCATAGGAAAAAAAGAAGAGGCACAACAAAGCAAAACAAACCACATTATAGAATGTGCTAATGCTTAACATTTTGTGTATTAATAAAGAAGAAAAAAGAAAAAAATGGAGGATGTAGGAAACAGTGTAAGAAGAGAGCACTGCTCTATGCTAGTAATAGTGGAGCTTATAAAAACAGTGTAGAAGTAATAATAGAAAATAGTATAGAGAAAATTGTATAGTAGCAATAATACTAGAAATAGTATAGGCTATGATAACAATAGAAAGCACTGAAAAAATATGTGTACATTTCACTTTTGAATCTGATTTTTTTTTCCAAACTAAGATATCCTCATCCCTTATAAGGAGATATGAAAATTCAGCTGACTCAGCATCTTTTAAGTCTGCATCAATTAAAAATGGGTGCAGTTTAAAAAAGAATCCATGTCAATCATCATCATCATCACCACCAAAAGCAGAATTGAAAAAATTAAAAGCAAATCACTGGAATGACAATTTTCTTTTCAATATCCATTTTGTTTTACTGCTAATGACTAAGTATTTAAAAATACAATTATATGGATTTCCATTAAATGGCATGTACTTTAAAAAACAAAACAAAAAAACCAGAAATCCAAATGCTAGGTGTGGGAATTTAAAAGAGAAGCCAAATCAAGGGTTATCAATGGTTTTGAAAGTAGTAAGGCACCTGGACTTAAACCTGGATGGGAAAATGTTCAAGAGTTTTATGTTCTTGAACTTCATTTATTGTTCAGGAATGCTTCTTTTGGCTAGAATGTCCAAGCCCCCCCCCCCCCCCCCTCCAAGAGACAGTATCTAAACACGAGATGGCTAGCAGATGGTGGTGATATGTATTCAACAACCACAGCTTGTTTGTTGCGAGATGTGAGGCTAGATGAAGTTCTAGCCTCATCTCCTCTTTCCCATGGTGGTAGCAGGCATAGGAGAGACAGAATGAAACGAATATACAAGGGAATGACTTGCCGGAGGCTGTCAGAGAAGGCTTCCAATGCAAATTTTGAAGGGCTGTAGCCGCCTCCACCATAGGCAACTCTTCCAGCTATACTGCTCATGTTGACTACTCTCCCTCTGGCTCTCCTGATCAGAGGCAGCAAGTGGAGGGTCACATCAACTACTCCCAGCAGGTTGACATTCAGCACCTTTGCAAAGTCATCCTTGGTCAGCCACTGGTTGGGAGCCAATGGGAAAGCGATGCCTGCATTGTTCACCAAGCCCCAGAGACCTGTGGAAACAGACTCATTACTTCTCTTATATGGAATCAAATTAATGGTTCAATAGATTATTTTGAAGATATCTTCAGAGGTTTTAGCTGTTCATGTTGATTTATATAAATTGAAGGGGTTTTTTTGGTATTAAAACTGAGCCATGGCATCATATTTTTCTTACTATACCTGGACAAACACACACACACACACACACACACACACACACACACACACACAC